AAAAAGAAAAAAAGATACAAAAGTTGATAAAATAAATGAGTAGTGTTAAATATAGACTTTATTTTAGACTCTTTATTAGATGCTACCTTACATGTGTCATTTTAATTATCTCAAAGAAACACATTTTTTAACAAATCATTTTTTCAATCATATTTAAAAAAAAAAACGTGATTTAATTTTTTTCCATTCATCATTTAAATATTTAGTAAAAGCATGAACAATAGACTATATTAGATAGAATCTAGGCATCTAGCTTCGTTGTCTCTCCTCAGGCACCCATGGATGTTAAAAAAAGAATATTTAAATTCTCATGCATGTAATAATACTTTCATCATTATCAAAAAGAATTAATCGAGAAAAAAAAAACATGCATCAATAAATAGTTATAGAGAAGTGTTTAAATTCGAAAATCGTCTCATCCAACAAAACAAACTTTTAAACTTCACTTCAACTTTTCATCTTGCTCATTTTCAGTATTTTTATCCACTTTAAAAAGGAAAAAAAAAAAAAAAAAAAAAAACTGGAATATGCATTATGCAAGGCTGTGCTAGAACATTATATGAAAAGTCGATATAATAAATTTAGAGCAAAAGAAATACGACAATGTCGTAAACAATGAGTTAAAAAAAAAAAAATTAGTGGCATCTTTGTAAATAATAGGTATGTAGAGAAACATGTGAACATGATATGTCGATATTCAAAGGGAAGCATGGCACTCTCTTGTAAATTCAGTTAAATAAGTGGCTTGTTATTAAGTGAGTTTGCTTAAGAGAAAACTGAAAGGACACATGTAAAAAGATAAAGTAATATCTCTAAAAGAGTCTGAAATAAAGCTTGTATTTAGCACTTCTCAAAATGAAATACGTCAATTCTAAAAGGAGAAAAGAAAAACCAAAAAAGAAATCTAAAAAAGGTCAAGAAATCCAATAGGATTTATTCAATCTTAAAGAAACCAAGACCTCGTTGAAACCCTTAATCGGAAAAAAAAAATCCAAAAGATGAAAAAAGAGTGAATGATATTTTAGGATAAAAAATGACCAATGCAAACACTAATCATAAACAAATCTATAGAAAGGAAGATCCAACAAATCCCTAGTGACAAACAGAAGAAGGAAACTTGGAGGCGGTACCGACCCGTTGGGTTGGCCTTGCCCTAGCAGCGGTCCCAAACCCAATCTTAGGGGCGGTTCCGATCCGTTGGCACGACCTCCTTGGCGGTCTTAGTTTCAGCCCAATCTTGACGGTAGTCCTAGCCTGTCGGCCCAATCCTAGTGCCAAAACTACACGATCACGGCGGCAGTTGATTCCTACTCGGTGACCGCATCTTTAAAACATGAAAGCTTAGTTTAGTTTTCTTTTTTTAACTACTTAAAATATGTTACCTAATGGACCATGTTAATTATCAGATGAAATTTTTAATGTAAAAAAATAAATAAATAAAAGTGAAGCCTGAAATTGTAAATATATGTTTCTTTTATCACACAATAACGAAGTTTTAGAACAAGCTCGGGTGCTAACGTTTGGAGAAGCTTCAGAATTTATAGACAATGTCGTCTTGGGAATTTATTAGAGATTTTATTGTTTCTCAAAATGACCCAATCTTTCTTTCTTTCTTTTTTTTTCTTTTTTTTTTTTGAATCGTGACAACGATTTTAATCTAGAAACCAGGATTCACCTAACTCCCATCTATGAAGAAATGTTTTTTGGAATAACGAATAAAGTTTTGGTCTAGTTTTGATTGCCAATTAGGGAAGAAAATAACGCAAGAAAACAAGCAAGTGCTTGATTTGAGAGAACCATTGTTGATTGAAAACGTATTTTTGGCTTTTTTCTCAAGCCTATTTTTCTGCCCAAAAAAAAGTCTTTAGACGTGGCTTCCTTAAATTGACCGCAACTAGCTATCGTTGTTCAATCATGGTCTTCCACATTTGACTGATTCTGGTTGATTATAGACCATACATATATACAAAAATAACAAAAACCTCCCTGTATTTTATGCAAAACTTATCAAAGTGCTGCATTTGATCTTATATTGAAGAGGAAGAATATATTCCAAAGCATGAAAAAGAAATAAACACATCAATTACAGGAAATATGACACCAACAGACAACTAATTTCATCGGTATAATCGAAATTAATTACACCGGCCTTCAAAAGAAAAACACCTAAAAAGATACAAGTACACAACTCTTTAACAAATCATCTACAGTTAATGAAAAATCTAATCAATCAATGTTGAGAAAACCATAGCACCAAGGACACAAAAAAAACCTATAAAGAAACAAATCATACAGACGAAAAATACAACCAAATAATAAACAAGCAATACAAAAACAAAATGAATTGGTTGTAAAAACCACCACTATATATTATAAAAGTATAATAAAAACAATCCACAACCCAAAAGATGTAAGGCCTCGTTCATTTCACCAATTTAAATTTAGAATTCGAGTTTTACTACAGTAAAAAGCTCTCAGAATCAGTCACATCTAACTTTTTTACTTTAATAAAAAGATCTTACATAAAATCACATCTCAACTCGAATCAGCAAACTAAACGGGTAATAAATATAAAAAAGACGAGTTCCCTCAACACCATCATAAGAAAATGACAAAAAAAAAAGTGAGCGGTTAGAAAATACATCTTGGAAGTAGAGGCGAAGGCCAACCTGTGCACCACCAAATGAATCCCCTCCTCCCGTGGACCAAAACCTCCAAAGGGGTGTGCCAAGGTGAAGACCAACGATCCGAAAATACCTCACGACCGATGACGACCCCATCCCTACGTCAACTTTGATTTTCCGCTGGTGATACAAATCTAACCCTGAAATATGCATCTCATACTTTGCTTGTAGCATAAATTTGGTGTCTAGATGATGTGACAAACCTCCAGCTAGGAAATCGCTCGTCTGTTTCTCTTACTCACTTTAATTTTATTTCTAGGGTTTGCTTCCTTTGCAAGATTAAATGTTCTGCTGAATTTTTCCTTTTTCTTTTTTTAAGTTGTAGGTCTGCAATTTTTTAATCTTTTAATCAGTTCTTTTATTTCTTATTTGAATTTGATATTTTGAAATATACAAGTATTTTGGCCATTTAGAAAATTTAATTGAGTATCAATCGACTAATTAAGTAAAGGAGATGTTTTTGAAACGATCGGTAAAACACAATTAGGATAAACGCAACATTCTTGACAATATAAAATGGAATACATCATTTATATTAATTAAACACAAGTATTTTTTTTTTCTTTTAATTATCCCGGTATATGTAATATGTTATATACGTATGCATGCACATGCAGTATATATGCATACCTGAACAGAAGTGAGAAGACAATGAATTACAATAAGACCAGGTCTTGGTCACGACTGTCTCAATCACTCCATGTAGATTGCGTTAATTTTTTGCATTCCAGGAGGACCACTTTATTGTTACAATTTTTTCAAGGAAAATAGTAGGAAATAGGCCAATGTAAAAAATTTAAGAAAGTATATAGGCCATTTTTTAGTTATAGAAATTAATAGACTTCATAACCAGATAAGTTATGGACAAACTTGTCAAGTTATGGTTCATAACCAGACAAGTTATAGACGAAAACGGTAATTTGGCCTATTTATTAACTTATGTAAACTATTGGCCTATTAATTTTAATTCATCTCAAGTCTTGGCCTATTTCTCTCTTTCTCCCTTTTTTCAATTCTGTCTATAACTGATTGGAAGTCAAGATACGTAGACGCTACGAAAAATACTAGAGGCAAAAGTAGACGCTACAAATTCTAAATTTACTAGTATTATAATTCTACATTAGTTGGAGATATTGGCAGGATTCACTTAATAAGGTGAGGGCAATCATCCTCTAGCAAACCTGTTTTGTTAGGTTGAGTTAGACTCAATATCCTTTGATTTCTGTAAAATGGTATCAGAGCAGGCCCAGTTTTACAATGTTGGGTCCCCCAATATCGACTTATTCGCAGTGGTTTAGCATGGTCCACACTGTGCATGAGGGGGCGTATTAGAATCATATATTGGCTGGAGATATTGGCATGATCCACTTAATAAGGTAAGGGTAAACCTTTCATAGCAAACCAATTTTATTAGGTTGAGTTAGGCTTAATATCATTTGATTTCTGTGTAAACTAGTTCAACCCGAGGAAAAAGTAGGAATATAGTCGTACTTTATAATTCTTAAACACTACGTGCGTATGAATATGGTAAACGTTTTGGGGATGGGATTCACACCGTCATTGATTAACTAGCTAGCTAGGAATACAATATAGAATAGGATTAATTATTATCATTATCAGTTTAATTGTTGAAAGGTTTCGAGTTATTTTTAGTCAAATTTTAAATATCAAATGATCACATTGTAAATGGTTGTTAGAATACTGTGAAGTGTACTGCCACATGACATGCATCCAAAATTAATAAACTATTATTGATATAAAGTAGATTTTTTTTTTAATCATGAATATAATGGAGGTGTCAAATTTTTATTAGGATATCCAAAGTAGGTGAATTACCACCCTCTAAAAGACTATCCTCTACTGAGTCGTCCACTCCAATTTATTAATCGGTAAGAAATAAAAAGAATACAGTAAAAAGAACCATCCTTTAGCCTTGTATGTTTTGTTTTTGAACTATTGTATGAACAATATCATGGATAATAGCTTCTATAGTAAGTCTTTTGACACTTGAATATAGTAAGTCTTATGTGACGATTTTGGTAAAAATTAACAAAATTCAAAGTTTTGCTCAAATGCACCTCAAGTAAACTTCAACCTCAATTGTCCTCCAAAATTTATAAAAAAAAAAGGCACAAAAGGGCAACTTTCATATGTTCACATAGACCGAGAGAGATTCACATAGACCAAGTTTCAAAAAGTGTAAAATTTTGAAGTTCAGAGGGACATTGCTAGATAAACATGTCAATTTTAACGGAACTTACTCGAAAGCAATTATCTATATCATTCTTGAATTTGAAACTTGTTTTAAGTTCAGGAAATTCCCCCTAGCCATCAATATCATTGGAAAAGTCAATATATATGCGACCGATTTTCTGCGTAATATGTATTTGTAATTGGCTCAAGAAGTGATTAATTTCCTGGTTTCCAAGAAACTTTTGTTCTTGTGTTCACGGGACGCAATATGCTCTAGAAAGCTGGAGAAGTCGGTGTCCTTGTAGCGTTTTGGGTTGGCCTTGTCAATGAGTTTTGGCGATGGTCGAACCATGCAATTGAACGGGAGACTGTGCAAAGAAGCAATTGAGATTCTTGGCTTTGAAGAATTCACAACAACTCTGTGGAGCACGCTCTTGTATCTCCCATTGCTGAAAATCTGTACAACAGATCATATACCACGTAGAAATTAATGGACTAATTCATAATTTCATGATATAAACAATGTATGTCTACATGTTAGGAGTGTTCATTAATTAGCAAAAATATTTTTTTTATAATTAGCAACATGAGACGGGTTTAGGTATGAAAAAATGTTTTAATTTGCTTATGGTACTGCATTAAGTTTCACGTTCCCAAGAAAGTTTAATAATTAGAGCGGAGAATTTTTTCTTTCTTTCTTTTTTTTTTTATTTTTTTTTTTGATAAACTAAGAAGAATAGACAACTAGTAGCGAGGTTTGTCAAAACATTCCAACTAATTTGACACCCCTCTTAAAACGTTTCCTCTACCAAGTCCCTAACTCGAATATTATTATTAAGAAAGAAAAAAAAAAGAATTATAAATGATGAAAGAAACTGTGACAAAACATCCAAAAAAACAGAAAACAACCTAAAAAAAGGCCAAAACAAGTACAAAATGATAGCCAGAAGCTCAAAGGATAAAGCTACAAATATGCCTCATTTAAAACCTTTTAGCTAAAATCCAACGGATTTTCTAATGAATATGACTAAGTTAGGATGTGCTAAGCTTCTCTTATACCGGTTACACTTTCTCCGTTTAAAAAGAAAAATAAAAAAACCCAATTAACGCTACCAAATAATAATATTCGCTTGGAACACTTTTTTTTTTTTTTTTAATTTCCATTGCTGCAATAGTAAAATGCAAGAATTTCATTCACAAATCCAGTCACATATTCTGAAACAAGGAAGAAACAAAGAATTTAATGAAAATGTGTGTTCATGGTATGAGATGAGCAAACATTATTGATTACTAATTTGTACATTTTTTTTGTTTTGTTTTTTTTTAATTATTTTTTTGAAAGAAAATGAATATAAGGACTAACCTCAAGATGATCACCAACATTCACAACGAAGGAATTAGGAAGAGGTTCGACAGTAACCCATGTCCCTCCATGCTGTATCTGAAGACCCTTAACTTGATCTTGAAGCAAAAGAGTCAGAAAACCATAGTCGGAATGCGGTGGCATTCCTAGGGTTAACTCTGGTTCAGGGCATGAAGGATAGCAGTTCACCACAATCAGTTGACTTCCATTTTCAAATTTTATTGATGAACCATCTAACTCTTCTCCATTATTATTTTCATTATTGTTTTTCGTTTCTTCAATATCCATTAATCCCAAGCTCTCTTTAATAGCCTCCATCAGTATGAGGTATAAGAATTTGGTATTATTCGAGAAGTTAACTGCTACTTCCCTATATATGTATATCAAACCACAATATGAGATTGTTTTCATTTTTTTATTATTATTATTTTATAATGAAGAGAAGGAGCAACTGATGTCGGACAAAGCTTTAGATCGAAATATCCAACTAAGTTCGCACCCATACCAAAATATGAGAATAAATTCTGAATATGATGTCTTGAAATGTTCAATAAAGTTGAAACTTATTGCAACAATTGGAATTAATATCGATGACAGTTTGAGCTGAAATAGTAATTCTACTTTAATGAAGCTGACAAAATTTTTACATCTTAATTGGAGTTGGAAATATTCATCTACATACAAACATATGAATATATACATATATATATATATATATGCATGGAGAGAGAGAGATAAGTACGTACCTTAAGTCGACGGGAGAGGAAGGCCAATGAGGAAGAACTTCTGACAAAGGATGGCAATTTAGCTTTAAGAAGTCTCTCCAACAAAACACTTTATCATTGTTCTGGTTAAAACTGGTTCCATATCTAACTGGTGAGTACATATCTTTCGACATGTACTTGGATCTCTCCTCAAAGGGGAGATCGAAAAATCTCTTACTTACATCACCCATTCTTTTGATGACATCACCTTCAATACCATGATTTATCAACTGCATATATATAATGATCTTTGTTAACAAACAGTACTTTTAGGTTTTTTTTTTTTTTTTTCTTCCTTTTGGTACTAATTAATTTTCAAAAATCCATGAATAGAAATTCATGTTCTAAAATAATTTTGCCGCATCTTATGCAAAGTGTTTCACTCTAAAGTGCAATCATATTTTCGATTATTTTGTCAACCACCCATACATTTTCAAGCACATTCATGCAAATAAGTTATTTTGTTCACACACACACACATATATAGATATAATTTTCAGGGAATATTTGCTCATATTTTGCTAAATAAATAACCTTAATGACAAGAAAATTTAAGAAAAGACCAAGAATTTGAAAGATCAAGAAGTAGCTAGGGTACCTGAAAAAATCCATATTCTTGGCATGCTTTTGCCAGGGAACTTGTGACATATTGGGATCTGTTGGGGCCTTGAAGCTTTGCAAAATCAATAACAGGTAACTTGAGATTGTACTGGACGTCTTTGCTAGTATTATTATTGTTATTATAATTATTATATTTACTTGCTGAATTAGGCCTTTCTGCCTCGGGCAATATGTACTTTGTTGGAACTTTTGTTATTCCTCTTTCACACAAGCTCCTCACTCCCATCTGGTATTGCCTCTCGTCATCAATATTATTAGTTTGATCAATATCCTCTACAACGGGTTTCATTATCAGGCCTATTATTCCCCTCAACTGTCAATATTGGAGACATCACATTAGATATACACAATAAAAGCACTATATATAAGTGTGTGTATATATATATATAATATACATATGTATGTATGTGTGAGTATGCCAAATTAAATGGAGGGAATTAAGTTGAGGAAACTTACCTACCTTTGGAGAAACAAAAACGTAGAATTGAGGAAGAAAAATAAGTTGCTAAATGGTGAAAAACTAGGCTTCTTATATAGGAGTTTTGATGACTAAAAGCTAGCTAGTGGGGTCAAGGGAATTAAGCAGTAGTTGAGGCAATCAATTTTGAAAAAATTCTACTTTTATAGTTCTGTACATTATTTTCAAATGGACTGACTCCACTCAATGCAAAGAAGACCTTAGACTTGGTATTTAGTCAAAGCAGCGTGGCGGTGGTGGCTGCACTGCAGGGACAGGGAATAATTCCCGTGGACTTAATTCATTCTTTGGTAAATTAATGAGAAAATCCGAAAAAGTATTCCCTCAATTTTAGGATTTAGCTAAAACTTAGTAGGTATTTTTGAGAGAATATTGGAGTAAATAACAGATTTTTGAAATTAAATTAAGTAAATAACGTATTTTAAAACTATTTAAAATAAATAGCATTTTACATCGTAAATGAACTATTTATGCTACATTTACCCTATATTTGATATTCGAAGAGATACCAATAGGTATCCTAATGGTATATTTGATATTCGAAATATAGTGTGATGACGTGGCTGTGATAGGAGTGTCAATCTAATTCCTCAATCTTAAATTTGAGTGGGGCCCACCAATCTCACTCTTATTTCAGAATAAAAAAAAAACAAGTAAACATGGGATTGACACTCATTCACCACTTCCATTCTTCAATCCTGGTAAGTAAACATGCCATATATCCTTTGGGATATGTCAATCCAAGTCTAAAACATGAGGCAATTCCTTTTAAAGCCCATAAACTATTACCTATAATCATCATCAGGTGATGTGCAATAGCAGAGCCCGCCTTCGGCTTTAGTAGGGGCATGGAGTATACTTTTTTTTCTTTGGAGGGCGGGGTGGATGAATTTATGCTTAATTCGTACCTTTTCTAAGTTAGTGATCAATTTTGACTAAAAAAGACCTAAATGCCGGGAATAAAATACAAAGAATGAGGAAAATTAAAAAAAAAAAAATGCAAAATGTGAAAGATATTTTTGTGTTTTTCCTAATAAAATCAACTTTTGATAAAAAAAAAATTATAGATCTAAGATCTAACATGAATTTGAATGATTAAGGTATAAAGGTAAATGTAATACAATTCAATATATAATTTATAATTTGTTAACCTCAAAATGTAGGTATAAAAGGATCAGAAAGTATTAGCTCATTAGTAAAATTTATAAAAAGAGTAAAGTTGTTTATAAAAGAAATATATAAATAAAATAGAAAAAAGTAAAGTTTAGCGGGGCCATATATGAGAATCTTAAATTTTACTGGACACAAAACGAAAAAAATTAAGAATTTTCAATGTTTAAATTGTATTTTTCAGAAATTCAGTGGGAGCAGCAGCCCCTATACGTCTTTTAATACCTCTGTCTCTCTGACAATATAAGACTGCATAACTTATTCTGTCATTGACTTTTTGACTAATTGATGGCTATTATAAAAAACTATAATTTAGTCAAAGCAGCGTGGCGGTGGTGGCTGCACTACAGGGACAGGGAATAATTCCCGTGGACTTAATTCATTCTTTGGTAAATTAATGAGAAAATCCGAAAAAGTATTCCCTCAATTTTAGGATTTAGCTAAAACTTAGTAGGTATTTTTGAGAGAATATTGGAGTAAATAACAGATTTTTAAAATTAAATTAAGTAAATAACGTATTTTAAAACTATTTAAAATAAATAGCATTTTACATCATAAATGAACTATTTATGCTACATTTACCCTATATTTGATATTCGAAGAGATACCAATAGGTATCCTAATGGTATATTTGATATTCGAAATATAGTGTGATGACGTGGCTGTGATAGGAGTGTCAATCTAATTCCTCAATCTTAAATTTGAGTGGGGCCCACCAATCTCACTCTTATTTCAGAATAAAAAAAAAACAAGTAAACATGGGATTGACACTCATTCACCACTTCCATTCTTCAATCCTGGTAAGTAAACATGCCATATATCCTTTGGGATATGTCAATCCAAGTCTAAAACATGAGGCAATTCCTTTTAAAGCCCATAAACTATTACCTATAATCATCATCAGGTGATGTGCAATAGCAGAGCCCGCCTTCGGCTTTAGTAGGGGCATGGAGTATACTTTTTTTTCTTTGGAGGGCGGGGTGGATGAATTTATGCTTAATTCGTACCTTTTCTAAGTTAGTGATCAATTTTGACTAAAAAAGACCTAAATGCCGGGAATAAAATACAAAGAATGAGGAAAATAAAAAAAAAAATGCAAAATGTGAAAGATATTTTTGTGTTTTTCCTAATTAAAATCAACTTTTGATAAAAAAAAAAAATTATAGATCTAAGATCTAACATGAATTTGAATGATTAAAGTATAAAGGTAAATGTAACCTCAAAATGTAGGTATAAAAGGATCAGAAAGTATTAGCTCATTAGTAAAATTTATAAAAAGAGGAAAGTTGTTTATAAAAGAAATATATAAATAAAATAGAAAAAAGTAAAGTTTAGTGGGGCCATATATGAGAATCTTAAATTTTACTGGACACAAAACGAAAAAAATTAAGAATTTTCAATGTTTAAATTGTATTTTTCAGAAATTCAGTGGGAGCAGCAGCCCCTATACGTCTTTTAATACCTCTGTCTCTCTGACAGTATGAGACTGCATAACTTATTCTGTCATTGACTTTTTGACTAATTGATGGCTATTATAGTGGGGCCATATATGAGAATCTTAAATTTTACTGGACACAAAACGAAAAAAATTAAGAATTTTCAATGTTTAAATTGTATTTTTCAGAAATTCAGTGGGAGCAGCAGCCCCTATACGTCTTTTAATACCTCTGTCTCTCTGACAGTATGAGACTGCATAACTTATTCTGTCATTGACTTTTTGACTAATTGATGGCTATTATAGAAAACTATAATTGATTTAGAGCATCATGAGGGCGTGAAAAGCGTACAACATTAGCAAAACATCGTTAGTTATTAACGAAGAAATGATAACCGACACCAACAAACTCAAGCACATATCAATTACTACGTTATCAACATACTCATATACGTTTTTAATGTGAAATGAAAAGGTTACAAAGTCTACAAAATACAAAATTGGCTCTACGGCTTATAACTTCAAAAACGCTCACACGCAAAAAGCTGACACTTATATTTGCAAACTCTCTCATTTTATATTGTCACGGCCTCATTATAAGATTTATTGAAAGAAAGGGGCAAAAAATACGAAAAAACTAAATTAAAAATAGGAACTAAAGACTAGAGAAAAGCAAATTATCAAACCTACAACCGCCCAAAAGGTCAAATACAAATAATAAGGGGCCACAAGATCCACTGAAGAAGGCCGTTCTTGCATAAAAACAGGTCCATGAGGAGGGAAAAAGCCCAAGGAAGCAAAAAGACTGCATGATTTTGAGCGAACAAAAAGATTGCATAAAGACACAGAATTAATTTTATCTAATTTTTCCAAAGGTAATTATGACGTGCTAGGCATATTTAGCATTATATAGGCATTTATTTAATTTTTTTCTAATTTTCCAAAGGTAAGTGATGTAAATTATGATGTGCTAGGCATATTTCACATTATAACAGGCATTTATTTTATCTAATTTTCCAAAGGTAAGTGGTGTAAATTATGATGTGTGATCAACTACAACATTGTGCTTTTTCTAGAGATATTTTCATTTTATATATTTAATTTTTGCTCCTCTGAGGTAGTGTTGCTACTCTTCATGCTTTTTATTTGTTTGATGCGGTTATATGGTTGTAGATAATTGCTAATGACTGATTAGATGTTAGCTTATTGTAACAAATTATATACCGAGTAGACATTGAATTTCCCAGTAGTTAGTAAAGTATGTGTCGTCAGTTAGTTAACAAGTTTTCAAGTCTGTTAGTCGAGACTAATGATTTTCTAGGTATGCCTTACCCAACATATCTTATACGATTAAAAAATGAAACTATTAGTAATTTTTAATTTTCAACCATCAAATATATATCAAAAATTATTTTTTGTACATTTTTTTAATATGTTATGATTTTAATCAGATCTAAAGACACTTCTTATAAAAAGACTACTGAAAAAATCCTTATATATAGGTGAGTTTTTAATGTTTTTAATAGTTATACATTCTATTGACCACTCATGAGACGCTACAACAAAAAAGGTTATTCGCGACGACATTATTAGCGACGATATCTGTCGTTGCTAAAGTTTCCATATTAGCGACATATATACAGATGGACATATACATGGATGATCAATCAATATTCGGAACTTGAAGAGAATTTTTGAGAGTATGTGATATATAAATTTAGTTGGATGGCAGAGCAGTGGCAGACTGATCTTGATTCATTTCGTTCTTGATTGCAGCAGCCAATTCATCGTATGCTTGCCCCCATGCAGAAGCCATATCGTCGCTCCATTTCTCTCCAACTGCTTCTTTGATTGTTCTCAGCAGTGCTTCTTTCACCACCTAATTGCATCAATTTACATGTAAATAAATAGAATTAATAAAAAAAAACCATAATATCAATTAGGAATCAATAAAAAAAAGTCTAAGCACCACTGATAATAAAAAAATTTATGATAATAAGATGATAATATCATAAAAAATCTTTTGGGACACATGACCACTATTAATAAAAAGTGGATCTCATATGAGAGATCCGCGTTCTATTAATAAATAGTGCTCAGCACTGCTGGTGTCTAATAGTATTTTTTTATGATTTCAAGTACAGTGCCCATTTACAAATGTTTGCGTGACGCGTATGTGTATATATATATATATGTGCATGTATTTATACTCTTACGTACTTAAGTAAGTGTGACTGTGAGCTATAGGCTTTTACCTCAAAATGGACAGAGACGACCCTATTCTTGAGATGAACAGATCCCAAATGTTTTAAACTTGAATCAGGTACCACTACTTCCCCCTTCTCCCCAAGCTGAATAGCTGACTCACATGTCTAATATTACATACGAAACATAGTTGTTAGTATTCTAAATATTAGACCTTCGGAAAAAAAAAAATAAGGATAAATAAATATGTGTTAGTTCTTGTTGTCAATTTTATCTTATGAATAATCCATGAATTTAAAAAGTGTCTCATGAATGGTAGATCCATCTCTAGTTGATTTTTTTTTTTTTTTTGAAGGTTAAAAAATGTCAAAGTTAGTCCTTCTATTGAGAAAATGATGGACAGAGATAAAAATTAAAAAAAAAAAAAAAGTTGTATCGAATTTACACCCTC